CTGAAATATTAAGGATAAATAAGATATGTAATAGACATGACATTATAATTTAATAATAAAATATGCTCATTTATACAGAGGTACAAGGTACATCCTTCAATAAACAAGTAATGTTAAATGTGTACATATTTTATATCTTGTGTTCTTTCAAATAGTTGCCCACTGTTTCTTGTGCCTGATGTGTGTTGTAGTGACATATAAGAACTCAGTTCTTCTTGCTCTATTTCTGTCATATTCTGTCCCCACTACACTTTCCTGACAAAAACTCATGCTTCAACCTTGTGGAGTCCAACCAGGGCCGGTGAATTTTGACAAGATTCCTTTAGATGAGCAGTCGCTCTGCTGCTGCCTTCTGCTCACATCCATATGGCAGCTTACACCCCAGAAGGCCACTTCTTCCTTTCCACTGAGAGGCCAAGCTGGTCATGGCAGCTGTTTAACGAGACAACAGTCCGCTGACAAGCGGTTTGCAGAACCGTGTCGAAGGGAATGTGTAAATATGCTTCAAGTGACAAGAGTGACAGGTTTTTGTTTATGATTATTTACTATGAGGATGAGTTTGATTGTCCTATAAATCAATTAATGGCTGAGCACACTTTAAAGAAATGCACATCTCTCACTACCTTCCATAAGAAAGGTTTCGATTGAGATCATCTTGTGTTTAGTCAAACCCTAAAAATTTCCTTGATGTGAAATGCATCCTAGCAATACTTTCCCAAATGCTCATTTTAAACTCTCTGGAGGTTCACAAGATAATTAACCAACAAAGAGGGTTGACTTCAATCATTAATGCTAATGTTAAGATCTCACAGTGAGTAGAACTTAAAGCATGTGTTGTGAATGATTCTCAGCTAAGACCAGACCAAATTTTAGCACAATTGACTGAAATCTATCTGTATTTTTTTAAGTCAATAGAAAATGGGAGTCTGAATTAGGTTAACTGCAAACAGTTCGCTGTAAAGAGTAATTTATTATTTATAAAAATTTTTTTACAAAAAACTTTCAGGAGTTCATGAGGTATTTTGCTAAAAATTAGACCGACCGATTCTAAGAGTTATTGGCAAAATTTGAAATAAAATCCTCTGTGTAATGT